ATCTTCTCTCTCTCTTCTCTTCTCTCTCTCTCTCTCTCTCTCTCTCTCTCTCTCGCGACAGCTATATATGTCCTACACGCGTGCGGTGCAGGGAAGTGCAGCTATTCCCCCTTCTCCCTTTCCCTCTTATCGACAAAGTGCATCCCCACTCCTCTTCGCTATAGTAGACAGCCGCGAATTCAGTCGGCCTTTTCTTTCTTTCTTCCTTTCTTTGTCACGAATAGCTATCTCTCTCTCTATCTATCTTTTTCTTATTTCTTTGCATACACGAGCAGAATAAGGGCACAATTTATGATCCCTCGGTGCGGTAACGTTGACGTGGTCAGGGCTGTAGGAACCCTTTTATTCAATAATTAAAAGGACCAACCAATATATACGATTGCTTTGTGACTTTGCTAGTTATGCTAAACAGTATTTTACAATTAATAAAAAAAAATGTTTTATTTTACATATTTTATCTCAGGTATAAATGTTTATCGTATTGTAGCTGCTGACAAATGTTATTAATTATAGATACGATATAAAATATATAAGACGATTTTGAGACAAGAAAAATAAAAGAGAAAAAAATGAAGATAACGATTGATGACAGAGTGGATTTTTTTAACGTTGCAATCTTTTATGTACGATTTGCGAAATTTAAACTTTCGGACTAAAAACGAATACATTAACATACATAAAAGATGTTATATATAGGGTGTTTTAAAATTTACGCGTACGAAAAACAAACGCGATTCTCTCTGCCGGAAGGAGTAAGTAATGTTTCCTAAAATTAGAATTCGAACAATGGTTTTGAAACAAAAACAGTTTACAGCTAACAAATTGGCTAAATTCCGCATGAATTAGAGATGGTCTCTATATTAAAAGAGTATTTTATTATTTATCTAAAAATCTTTAATAATTACACATGATAAATATCGTAATTTTTAAATAAATTAACAAAACGAAGTTTTTTAATTTATATTTTCGAAGTAAGAGTAAAGTAAAAAATCGAAGTAAAAAATTAGATAACATGACTAATGGTCCAACTTGCAATAAAATTTTATCTATACATGAGACATCTGTTTATTAAATAAAATGTATTATTATTATATTTATTTATTAAGTAAATACCAATATTTAGAATTATGCGTATTTATTACTTATTATTAAAATTTTTAGTATAATAAATAATAGAATAGTAAATAATAGTAAATAATAATATAAAGTAAATTTATAGTAAATAATAAAATAGTATATACGTTTATCCAATTGCTTTTAATTTATGCGTAATTTAAAGCACTTACTAGTTTTAAATTATTCTTAAATTATTCTTAAAGTATTTTTAAATTTGTCTATAAATTAATCTTAAGAATTGCTTATGCGTTATTAATCTTAAATTGATCTCATTAAAAAATTATAATACAATTCTATAATAAAAAAATTGTTTATTTTCCTGATACTATAATCACATTATGCACAGAAGTTTTTGAGACACCTTGAAACTGATAGAAAATGGTAGAAAAAATAGTAAATACAAAATACTAGTAGATACAAAATGCAAACAAGATTTTGTTTAAAAAAATCGAGATTATTTTGCAAAAGAAGCAATTTTATTCAAAAGTTAATCATTTATTTTACTATTAGTTTACTTTTCAAAGTTATTTTTAATATTTTTAAATGTTAACTAATATAATCTTTATTACTAGCGCAAAAGTTTAGTTCTTATATATTATATATTATGCAAATTTCTAAATAAAATAACATCAAATAATTATGCATTTTTAGCCACTATAATTGTGGACATCAATTTTTAAATAAAAACAGGATTTTAAAAAAATCTTTTTGTTATTAACGTTTATAATCGGTCAAAATTTGATTCTTTTTTATAATTCTTTTCACAGATTAATATAAAAAAGACTCTGTTTTATAATATTATCTAATTATTGATAATGGTAATTGTCACACATACCCATATCCATATAAATATATATATATATATATATATATATATATATAATAAAA